TATATACGAACGTCATTAAAAAATAAGGTAAACAGTAAAGGTCTAAGTTCGATCCCCGTGCATTTCCACTATGACGACTTTTAATCACCGTATTTCACTCCGTATCTCAACCTAATAATTTAACTAATAATAACATGTCATCACCAAATCCGAATGACCCAAGATTACCTTAGATTCCTTGAAATATACAGTGATTATTAAATGTTTTAGATAGATTTGTATATACTGCATAAACTTAACAACAGAAACTAAATAAATTTATAAAATTTTGTCGTAGTCGATAGTCCTTTTACAAACCCATGTTGTTCTAAGCTAAATATGGCTTTATTACACAGATGATTATATATAGCAGTCGATAAAATACCGTGTGTTCTAAAGAAAAAACCCAGGCACGTAGCTGTCTTATTTTTTCGAGTACAGGGCTGAGTGTACGTAAAATATATTTATTTTTGTAGAGATTTTGTTTCTGCATTCAATGATGTATCATACTTTAGTATTTGCAAACATTAATAACAATTTAATATTTGCAATATTTTTTTTACTGAGTTATTACTTTCGAGAAGAAAAAATTTAGTTTTCAAAATAAGTACTTCTGTGCATTAACAAAAAATTATCAAAAATTATTAAAAATTTTTATTATTTTTTTTTTCATCAGCATTTTTGCGTAGGACACATATCAATATGGATAGTTCCAGTTCAATACTAATAATAATAACAGTACTGTATTCCCAAAATTTCGGGAAAATCGAGTGAGTCGTTCTTGATTTAATCAATAATTTATTCGGCAAAATTTTGAGATGCGGTAATAAATTTTTGGAAGGGTATAGACGAATAAATTTTGATCAACGATTGATTTATCATGCTTACGATAATTTAAAACGTTTGCAAGATTTCAGAGCATTCAGTTTTGCAGTTTCAAAATAAAAATTGGTTAAAGGTTAGTTCGACAAAACTTCTAATTAAAATACATATAATCGGACAAAAACGGCTTCTTCGAAAAAATATAAAATTTGATTTTGCACATTTTATTTTTAATGATAAACCCTGTAAGATAAAAATATGTATAGACCGTTTTACAGTACAGGTAAAGAAGCATGCTATGCATATGTTTCAAGTGAATTTTTCCGTAACAAAATTTTGTGATAACGTCGCTAATATTTTATCAAGGATACTTAATAATTTGGTGCAAAACTGTATATTCACATGTAATATTAAAAATTATGAATCCATTGATAAATCTATAATCTCTCCATCCAATGGCGTCATCAATATTTTGGGGGAAACATTGTAAGTTTAAAGTTGAATTGTAAAACGTTGTTATTCAATATTGATTTTTTTTCCAAAAATCTGAATGTCTAGGGTAAAAACTCAACTCGGATTCCTGAACCACTAGTACAGAAGTTTCTTCTTTTATAAAATTTAAATAATATTTACTACTGTAAATTTTGGCCACAACCTAAAAAACAAAAATAAATTCTCTTTGATTTTGTAAGCAAACAACACAAATACTAAAAATATATAAAACAAGAATTATTGCAACATTATTCAAAAGTTTAGTTTGTATCATCAGAACTTGTATTTTCATCGGCTTATTCACAATGCTCATTATCAGTCTACACTCCCACAAATATTTTTTTTTCTTTAATACTATTAATCCGTTTTAAATGAGACTTGTTTGCAAGAAGTTTTGTTGTTCTCTGATTAGACTGTAATAAAAAAACAACGATGTTCCATCTGATAAATTCCACCTCCATTGTCGCCAAATTTGAAATAAAAAGCTTTGCATCTATTTGGTTAGCGTTTTACCATCTATAATATTCCTGAAGTACATACAAAATTTGACAACAATCGGTCCAATAGTTTCGGAGATTATATGTCTAATTAAAATCGATACGGATGACAGGTGATTAAGTACTAAAGCAATGATACCAACCCAAATCACCACATAAAGAAATACTAAATCAATATTTATGGATATTTTTCTAAATGAGTAATTAAATTAAATAAACTCAATAAATTTGCGGAGATGCGCCATATAATTTTAATTCTTGTCATTTGTACAGGTAATAAAGCACAACAACTTATTACAACCATTTTATTTATTTAGGCACGTTTACTGATATTTTATTGAAACAGTTAGTCCCTCAAAGAAAAACAATTATGTTCTTAGAGTACATCGCTTTATTTGATTGTGTACTGAAAATTTCAGAGGTATATAGACAAAATCCGAAAGTAATATGTCGTGTTCAAACAGTGTCATCCCACACTGTAAGCACTGGTCGAAGATATTAACTTTTTTTCATTAATACAGACAGACGAAAATAATATTTTCGTAAAACGAATTTTCACTCAATTATTTGGTGATTAACCATTCTCATGGGCGCGAAATTCAAATAACGTTATTGTTAAACACAAAGTAGTACAAAGTACTAAAGTTACAAACAAATATTGTTCATGAAAATTTGTTACTAAAAAAATAGATGTCGCTAAATGTTTCAGAAATATACAATGATGATTTCATGCATGACTATCATCACGTACTAAATTTGATAAGTAGATAAGTGTAATTATTAATTATTAAAATAAATTCAGCTGAATATGATAAGATCGGTAATAATCTGATCGAATCGCGTGCCACAGTACTGAATTGTTGCACAAACGGAAATTAGCTTTCGAAATGTTTGATAAAATATTTAATCTGCAATAAATCACCAGCATTGGTGCGATACACCTGTCAGATATCCATACAGATATTCATCTTCATATGGTGTGCATTTAAGAGCAGTCACACATTTTTGTATGCACTGTACTCTTAGATGTAGAGGTCATAAACAGTTCATGCTGGCCTTGAATCAGTAAATCACAACAAAGCTGAATCTTTTATTTAGTGGTTTGCTTTATTTTAATCCATATTGATACTTAAATACATATGCTTCGAAAAAATTCTTCCTGAAATTTATAGCAACAAATTATCGTAGATAAACTTCATCAATGGTCCTCACCCTCCAAGATAGAGCAAGTAACAATTCAAATTTAGTCGTAGTGTGTACACAATTTCAGTTATTTACAAACAAAATAGTTCATAATAAACTTGAATGCGTGAAATAGCTGATTAACGACACGAATACTAATCACCGAATTAGCTAATTATATACACTCTAGGGACTGAAAGAACCTGAACAACACAAACAATACAACAGTAGATACCCGCATTGCTCCGCTCAACGACTTTCAATTTCAATATACCCTTTTTCCTAATTTTACAGACAGTAATTCAACCGTCCCGTCTGCCACTAATTATTCTTTAAATAACTGAGCAAACTCTCGTCAAAACTGTCTCCTATTAAACGTTGCTTTTTTAAGATCCACCAACACAGCACTTTTTCCGAAAACATACGCTAGGCAGAATTTCTGTTAAATTTTTCCAAAAACATATGTCCATTATTACATTGTAATGTATTTAATTTAGAATTCTAGCGGTTTATTCCCTATTTTTAGATGTCATTTCGTCAGAAAGCTGCCACATATTTAAGGGAAAATCGTCGTTTCATGCAAGCACTTCATAAACAAGAAAATGCAATATCAGAAAGTTAAATTAGCGTTTTGTTATGTATATGACCTTTGATTTAATCAAGTAACACCACACCATGCAATATCGGATAACGAAATCATGATTTCCTGGCAACTCGAATAAATTATTCCTTCGAAAGTTTGTGTTTTAGGTTTCAGCAGAAAATTTGTGAACAAAAGTGGAATTAGCACAGTAAACAAATTTCAGACACCTTTACACTTTTAGTTAAATTGAGGCTTTTCAATAATTTATTAGGCCATAAACTCTTAATACACAAGTTCTTAACATGCAAAGGCAAACCTACTTCTAATTAAGTTTGCGTAATTTCATTTATGTTTAGCAGTTCGAGGAAAAACCGATTTGGTCGGTTCGTGGATTTGGCATCGCTTTTACTGTATTAGTGATAAGGCATTAATCAACTGATTTTAAACAACAGATAACGTCAAACATTTTTAGTCCAGGAACCGTAACTTTAATTCGATTAAATTCCATCGACGGCACACTTTTATCTGAGTCGTCGTCGTCAGCGAAATTAGTGAAAAGGACCAGCTTTTACGGTTTATTTTAATTGGTTTTTTTATTCTAGTCGCTGCTTTTCAAAAAACGTACGGTTCTAGCGAACTATGCAAATTGTATGCAATTAAATAAATTTTTATGCGGGGAAGTCCGGATAAAGCGACAGTTGTAAAAGCTCCATATGCAAAACGAGTTTTTAAATGTTTGCGTAACAAAAGCTCGGAATAGATAGTCATGCTTAATTCGGTGTTTAGACAATGTAATTACTTTACCTAACATTAATTTTTTTCAAACACTATGTGAAAAAACCAAGGCATAATATTTGAAATATTTATTTTTGTGTATTACTGGTTGCCTGACTTTTAATTTTGGCAAACTTTATTTAAATTTCCAAAGATTCTTTCTTGTATTGAACTTCCACGTCCATACACCAGTTGTGTATAGACTTATCAGTAAAAAACACAACTTCTAAATTTTTTATTGCAAGGGATTTTGTGTTTACCCCGTTCATGAAAAAGAACTCAAATGATTACCGCTTGCTCTTTATCAAAGAACTTTTTTCTTTTATCCCTCGTGAATATTTTACGTTTAAAGACTCTGTAAATATTTATATTAAAAGAATGGCCGTGACCTATGTCGAAATACTCACTTCAAATATCACGAATAAACAATGAAAGCGAAACTCTTGCAAAGCGTGCGTTCGAAGTTATAAGATAACAAGATCACTTTTACTTTTTTATAAATACAAGATCAAAGTGAAATTGTTGCAACATAGCCTTTGAAGTATTTCGAATCATACTCATTACAGTTTTACACGCAGGCCCCATCTACCGCCATTTCATTTCTGGTCAATTTTCATTTGAAATTTTGGTTCGGGAATTTATGGCTGTAATTAATTCAATTTTTTTTTCAGTTCCAGGGCAAGTTCCTATCTCTTCCGAGTGGAGCAATTGATTTGAAGCAGCTCCATTAAAAAAACGACAGCACCCTTTTGTGGAGGATTTTATTACATTTGAGTGTAAAACCTTGACGTAATTAAATGGCACGATCCTACTAAATGTGAATTTTATTACCCGAAGAATAATCGTTGACAGTGGATTGAGCGGGTGTATTTTTGTAATTATCCATATTCAACATATTTGTGTGTGGACATCGGCCACATCAATGTTTTTTGTACACACTGTTGCTCAGCAAAATTAGATGCCTAGGAGTTTATTATAAAGTACCATTTAAAATTATACAGCATGTGCATGCCTGTCTGATAAAACGACGACACAAGTATAAAGTTGTAGAACAGAAGACCAAATATACTACTTATAAACGCTGTACATTTTTATATACATATTTTTGAACTGAATGTATGCTTACGTACCATTGTTACCGTAAGCACGACTAATATATATGTATATATGCGAAGGTTGATTTACTTAACAATATACGAATTTTTGAAAAAATACGTTTATGCAAAAGAAATAAAATTTTAGTATAACGTGTTTTTAATTATATTGATAGGTGAATCGACCATGGATTTAATGCATAAAATGTAGTGTAAATATACCGTGTTGTTTCATACCAAAGCATGTTAACTTGTGTTAAAAACTGCAGTAAAAATGTTAAAGCGAAATAGCACACACAACCTGTATAAAAGACTCTAGGTTTGTTGCATTTTTACCTCTAGGCTATTATTTGACCACTAGAGATGAAAACTACTTGTATCTCTTGCAAAATACTGAGATTTCAGTGTTCCTTCTACTATTGTAACATTTACTTGTAAGTACCTGTGTTATATAGAATTTAACAACCGTACTTTTTTGACTAAAGTCAACATACGGTGGTGAACGGCTTCAAGCCATTAATTTGTGTTGTGATATGATAAATTTTGTTGCTGCTATGTATACTACAGTATTATAATAGACGATTGTTGTTTATAATAAGATTTATTTAAAAATTTAATAAAACCATTTTAAATATTTTGTAGTTTTACTGTTATATTTTACATCGTCAAAAGACGTTGTAACGAAGTTAACAGTTTTATCCTCCACCAAAACATCATCGACTCGTTAAAAACATAATATTTTGAGTATAACTATACAGACTGAAGAAGGAAAATCAATCAGTTTTTTTTTGGTTTTCATTTTTCTTTTATACGTTTTTTTTAGACATATTATTGTAACACAAATCCAACCCACGTATAGATCAAAATTCTAACAGATGTGACAACGGACTGTGTACTTATTTTAGGTCCCAGCTGCACTATATAACTTTTTTTAATGATGCTAAAAGCATTTGCGTGTATACGTTTCGGGGTCTGATATAAAGTAAAAACAAAAAGAGAACATTTTAGTTGTACCTGAAATCCAGCCATCACTTCGAAGATAGAATAGTAGAGATCAAAGCTGCATATGTTGCACTTTTTTATTATTTTACAGTAAATCCTTGTCGTTGTAGGACATCTTGTGCAATTTATACTCGTAACTAAAATAACAACATAGGGTGTGCTAGCTTTTCTAAGGAAAAAAAATACGCTTTATTAAATTTTCTTAAAGAAAGATTCAAAACCAAGAGAGTGAATGTAAATCTTTTATTTCGGTAGGGATCACAAAAGTAAGCACTGAAATAAGGTCATTTTGACGAATGTCTGATTTTATGTTTTCTCAGCGTTTTTACGTTCCCGCCTATTTTACTGCCGTTTGTTGACGACTTTGTAGCACAGATAATCTTTGAAGTTATCGAACCAAATATTTTGAAATTTTAATTGTGCTTTAGAATTATCGAAATCTATTTATCCCCTTAGTTTATAACATCAGAAACGGTACATATAATTTACACACTGACGTTTTATTAGTGTAACATTTTTCACCACGTGTTAGGAAATTCACTTATTCAGACTTCACCCTTTCGTTTATAACTAAAGTTCCTGGATGTTAAGTACCCTTCTTATCTTTCCAAATGAGATTGATTCATTAATGACATTTAAACTGATCTCAATCTGAATACCGAGGAGCGTTCTATCACCTGGATAAGATCCATCGATCCCGTAATCGTGATGAATTTCCGATACAGACTTTGGGTTCTATTCAAATTTAAATTTGCATATTTGTGTGGTGACACAATAATAAGTAGTAGTAAGCGAAGAAAGATAAGAGGCGTCGTGGTCTAGTGGTCAGGAAACCTGGCCGCCAAACAGGGGGCGTGTGGTTCGATTCCCATCGAGGCAGCAACATTTTTCTTCGCTTACCTACATTTGCATTCACTTATTTTTAATTCGGATGTCTCTTTTTCTTGAGTTTTTTTAATTGTAATATTTGTATTGATTCGGAGCACTTGATTTGATTTCATTTTGAAAGCTAAAGACACGTTCTTATAGCTTACAACTGTATTTTGTTTGTCAGAATAGAGGAATAAAAGATTTTTGTCCTCTAAATTTTGTATTTGATTGAAGGCATTTTGCCTTAAAAAAACACATAAACAACGTAGGGCTCTACGTTTGTCGATGATCAAGAAGGAATGCCAAATTTTGAATTTTTCGCAGGTTTTAAAATTTTGTTCACTTGTCAGTTTTTGGTAGGATGTTTGTATTATCCCAATGTCTAATAAGCTTGGTAATTTCTAAGGTTTTTCACTTTTTTAGAAGCATCAAAATATTACCTTTTTTGATGAAATTCGCGCATTCACCAGGGTGCGGGAGGTCGAACTTCCCGCACGCGTGCATTTTACTTTCCGTTGCCATGGTAACCTTAAAATAGTCGGGTAGTGTCAACATTGTGACGTGTTTATGGCGCTGTCAACGCCGCTGTTTATAAATAACTCACAGTTTATTGTAAAAAAAATCGTATCGGAATTGTAAAAAATGGAATATGCTTATAAAACTTTAGAAGATTCAAAAATTCAAATTAGACCATGTAAATGTATGGGGTATTCAAAAAGCTATACAACTTCGGTGTTTGACTTTTTTTCTATCTTAAATAATAATAATTAACAAAACATCCAGAAGGGCGTGCTTATTAACTCAGCATGTATGTACCATCGACTTTTAAACCTTTGGTAAACACACCAAATCACTGGAAAATACAAGTACTATTGAAGGGACCATTATATATTACAATGCAGCTTGTGTTGACCGAATTTGAATCAAAATTTTCGCGCTGAAATTAATTAACAGCGGCGCGAAATCACAATTTGCATAATTTGAATTTGAAAGAAAGAATTCAATCAAAAAATCATTAAACATAGGCAACCGTATATGCACGTAGCGCTTGGAGTAGTTCTGCATGTTTTGATTAGAGGGCGGTAGTGGTAGACAAGCTAGCTGCTAACGGCATGACGAGAGGGGGATGCACCATTATGTTTCTGTTCAGTGTAGTGGATGCATGGTGAAAGAATGCTGTAACTACCTAGGTATAAATTATCTGGTTTGGTAGTTAATAAAAGGGCTACATCTTGTGGTTTTTAATCGGAAAATTGTTAATTTTCGGGACCAACGCGGACCACGTGGAATAAATTTGTTTTATTGTTGTAAATTGAGGACCCGGGTGGGTTAGGTAGCATCGCGCTTGCCTGTCACACCTTGGGTCGTGGGTTCGATTCCCGCCCTGCTCTGGGTGTTGTGTATGTCCCCCGTTACCCTGTAATTGGGCCTCCGGCCTGTTGGGTAACGTTAACCAATAAAATAAAATAAATAAAAATAAATTCACAGTTCAGGCTAGGAGTTAATCGTCAGCTAATGCTAACTATTAACTATATAAATAAGTTTCTGGATGCATATACGTAAGTATATATTATAACACTTCCTAATTCTTCACACAAGATTGCTAATAGTTCATTTAGGGCTGTTAAACTAACTAATTCATACCGCGAACTGACGAGGGGTTAAAATAATTTCTTCCCTTAGGCGGTTATCATCGTTATTATCATCGTTATCATGATTACATCACTGAGGCATGTTCTCACTACGCTAAAAATTGATTACTTCATCGAGGCATGTCCTCACAACGCTAACGATTGATTACATCACTGAGGCATGTCCTCGCAACGCTAAAGATTGATTACATCACCGAGACGCTTTTCCTCGCAACGTTTAAAATTTACATCATCGAGGTGTTCCTCGCAACGTAAAAATTTACATCATCGAGATATTTCCTCGCAACGCTAAAATTTACATCACCGAGACGCTTTTTCCTCGCAACGATGACTGGATACTTTTGTGTTTATTTATTATGTGTTTTGTTGGGGTAACCAGTTCGCGGTATTTTAAACTCTCAAAGTAAATTGTTTTTAAGTAACCAATCACTTGGATTACGCCATAATTTGACATAATGTAAACTCTTTGTTTGAATCATTGATAAAGTGTGACAAGTATTAATCTCATGTAAATTTTGTTAACTTTGCAATTTTTCACCTCATACAATATTTTTCTATCTCACAGTTTTAAACCTCAGTAATTTTCCTTTGTTGTATAATTTTAATTGAACAAAAATTTCATGCTCTGCAGTTTTAACTTCATATAGTATTTTTATTTGCACAAGTTTATTTGACACCAGATCTTTTGTTTCTCATAAATCTTTACTAGTTTTGTTTTATAAACATTTTGTGGATGAATGTTTCCATCGTATTGTGATAACCCAAACTTCCCGCCTTAAAAATTGACCTTGAAACAGTTTGAAAGGCCCGTGAAAAATTCAAAATTCAAAGTTTGGCCTTGGCTGTGATCGTCTAACAAATGAGAACCTACGTTGTGTGTTTTTTTTTTTTTTTTTTGAAAAATGGCGGGAAGACGTTCTTTCATACAAGTGCATACACGGTCGAGAGCGCCAGAAATAATAGACAAGATTAGGTTGGTCAAAAGCCTTCCTAAGGGGGAAAAAGAAACGAAGAACGACAGACGCTCGAATTGCCCTTCTGGCGAGTCCGCAGGGCCAAGGTGTCATCGGTCTTCATTCCCCAAAACCCCCTGGGGTTTTATTCACCGACATATTACATGTCAGACACCTTAAGATATGTGAAAGAAAAACACTCGCGAATTGACAGACATACACATACGTAAACCGAACAAATACAAAACCCTACACATATGTAAATTGGATGGCAGAACCCGAATCATTATGAGAGTGTGGCGATCGAACAAAATATAGAACAAAATATATCAATTTCATTTACGAGCACAGAAAATACCCAGAGGGGGCGTGTAGCGCAAGCAGAGGTTGGGACTCCTGATCGTCACTGTTCTCCCCCACGACGGTGATTCTATCTACACCAACGCCTGCTCACACGCATCTCTCCATTACGAACGTGCCCTGCGAAACGAGGCGGTTACGATCGCAGATCCGTAGTGGGGTCCCGGCTATCACGAAACCGGCAGCGTTAAAAACCCGCGATCGCCCCCTGAAGCTATACAAAACCCGCGGACTTGTGCAGGTGACGCGATTAATCCCGTCAGTTTGAGAAGGAGTCGCGCGCCCCACGTACACTACGAGTTATGTGTTATTTACCTTCAATTTCTATTTAAATGTTCAAACTCTATGACTCTAACATTAAATGACAACCGAACAAGCGTTAAAGTTTCAACAAAGAGCAATACACGACATTTAAATTCGCCACACACTCTTACGAAAATTCAACAACAAATAATTCTTAATTGAGATTAAATTTGGACATCAGATAATTTACATGATAGAAATATTCATCAACAAAATATTTACATGATCAAAACTTAGCAAAGATTTATAAAACAAAGATCTGGTGTGAAATAAGTTTGTGCAAATAAAATATCATGTTAGGTCAAAACTGCAGAGCATGGAAATTTACGTTCAATTAGAATTATACAGCAAAGAAAATTACTGAAGCTAAAATTGTGAGACAAAGACAAATTGCATGAGGTGAAAGATTGTAAAGTTAACAGATTTACATGTGATTAATATTAATTCGTGTCCAGTCAAGTTATTGGTTAAAACTCA